CCACACTCACACCCAGCCTACCGTGCCCGCACCCGGCCCACCCGCTGCACCTGCACCCGGCCTGCCCCACCCTACCCGTACCCGGCACACCCGCCGCACCCTCACCCAGCCCGCCCTCACGCTCTCACCTGTCCCACTGCGGCACCGACGCTCCCAGTTCCATCAACGATGCCTGTGACCGTGGCCAAAGCCTCGCTGCTCCCTCGGATTAGCTCCTGGCGCCCCAGGTCCGCAGAAATCGCAGAGCTGATCATGTTAGAAGGTCCGCCAATAAAAAATCCTGGTCATACACAGAACGCTCTCTTAGTAAAACATTATTCATAACACCACTAGGAATCTATTGAATAAGGCAAACTAGCAACCCAATACTTTACCCAGACGTTGGAGAGAAAAAGAAAAAGGAAAAAATAATCAGCGGAAATGGAAACTCTCCCCAATACTGTCATCTTCAAAGTAGTTAGCATTCACATTTCTGAAATCCCTTCTTGAATTATGTGACGTTCTAGTATATTCACTAGAACCCAAAGCTACAGAAAACACAGTGGACACACAGCCCCTTCTAACTGAAGTGTGCGTTCATTAACAGCTAACCGCACGAGCTTGTCAAATTCCACCACAGTGGAGGTGCACCAGATGAGAGCTAACTACCTACACTCGACCCACGTACCGGAAGAGAAAGCGCGGAGAAGGAAGTTACGTAAATGGTGCAGGGGGTTCCGTCTGCCAGCCTGCCCGGGAGTCATCCCAGGAACGGAGTACCAATGGGCAGACGTGAATCTGTCCCTCACGTTGCTGGAATCGGCTCCGTGGGCCTTGCACAGCACGAGCCTCTCTCTACCCTGAGTATCATCGAGAGTTTAAAAACACTTAATTTTTAAATAGCATGGTCCCTAACTGCACCCAACTCTTTCACCTGGTGCTCGAGTGAAGAAAAACCAATCAGTTCCAGCACAGGCGAAAAACCAGCCCCACTGGGCTTTCTGAAAGATGGTGAGCTGGTTTGCAATGTGGTGCCTTCCTCAGACACTTTCAGAAGCAACTCTGAGTGTATACATGTCCACCCCACATACTGATCCCAGAGCACACCCTCGTGCAACACGCAACACCAGCCTACCCAAAAGGACCCAACACAACACTCTGCAGAACTCAGAGATCACCAAGCCCTGGTCAACAGCCCCCTATCTCAAGCATATCTGATACAGCTGAGTTCCAAAAACAAAGTAACCAGGACATTCCTTAGCACTCTTCAGGATGGGACCTGGTTTTTAAACAGTAAGTCTAACAGCACCCCGCGACTGTGTCATTGACCGCTCGTGCTTTATGTGAAGTAGGTGCCAGCTTTTCTTTTTTAACCCTGAATTTTATTTATTTTGTTGTTGCTGTTGAGAATACACACAGCAAAACATACACCAATTCAACAGTTTCTACATGTACAATTTAGGGACACTGATTACATTCTTAGAGTTGGGCAACCATTCTCACCCTCCTTTTCTGGGTGGTTCCTCCCTCGTTAACATAAACTCACTGGTGCCAGCTTTTCTTGGGATCACCAGGTGAAAAATACCTGAGGGACAAAGGAGCTGGGGAAGCCAGGAGAGGCTGTTTGGAAAGGTTGACAGCCAGAGGCATGGCGTCTCAGAGCCTCGCCTCACGGAGAAAAGTGTGCGTGCAGAGTGCTGGGCACTGGTCTGCCTCTGGTTTCTGGAGACAGTGCCCCCAGCAATGAGAATGTAACTAATTAGCAAGTCCTTGTGGTAACCAAAACTTAAAAACAGAACAAAGGTGCATGTATGTCAAAAAAGCACTGGAAGCCTTCTGACAGAGCAGTGAGTGTTCTTCCCACACCTGGCCGCACGTCAGCTCTGCTCACAGAGGAGAGGGTCTGTCTTATCAACAGCGTTTACTGGGTTGAGAGTGTACCGTGTGTAAGAGCATACACGTGGATACATCGTGTGTAACTGTCAGTGCGCTCAGCCTACACATACACACACTAAGTATTATTCATAGTTTCTAGCACGACTGTGACCCAGATGGTAAGAGTACAGTAAGAAAGACCTGCCAAGGACTGGGATTCCAGCTTCACTTTGGTCTTCGAGGAAACTGGTTCGTTTCTCGGGGCCTTAGTTTCCACATCTGTAAAGTGACGGAGTCGGACCAGAGGATGAAGGCCTCTCCAAATCCTAAAATTAGGATTCAATCCCTCTGTTTCACAGTGACAAAAGTTGCTACCCACACTGACTATCATAAAAGGACTTGATAAAGACCCAGTGTGAGAAGAGTCTAATACAGGATAAAAGGCAAAACGCACGGCAAGACAGACACCTCAAAGGTGGATCACCACGTTTTTTTCCAGAATGACATTCTCCAGGTCAATTAAACCTACAAAGAAGGCAGACAGTGCTTCCTTTTCTTGACGGCAATGACTCCTCAACCCTCCAGTCCTTTCCCAGGTGTCTCAGAGCTTACTTCTTCCTTAAAATGTCAGAAGCTGGCGCTGCAAACCAAGACTTCAGAAAATCCCTGCTTCTGCAACAATAGGACTGAGTCCAATACTAGCAGAGAAACATAACCTGGAAGAGAAGGAGTCTCTCCATTTACCACATGAGTTCTCTATAACCGAGGTCTTAGTGTTACTTAAAGTGAGAAAGAAGAGTTTGTTTCCCTACATTCACAGAGGAATGGTACAGGGAGAGTGAGCGCCGCGCCATACCTGTGACAGCCATCAGAAGTGCGTTAATGGACTTATCGTTGGGAGAGCCTGTGAGGAAAGAGCAGAAAGGCCACGGTGACATCACAGCCTGGTACCCCAGCTCCGCAGAGCAGCCCACAAAGACGCGAGTCTGTGACCTTGCAAGACACGCCCAGAGACGGCAGAGCCACGGCTCTTGCTGCCTCTTCCCCCTCTGATTTGAGGTGTCCGCCTGCTGCTGGCACTCACACTACAGAGGCTTCTGGAAGATAAACAGAAACGCCACTCTCACTGCAGAGCGTCTTAAGGAGCACACACCAAACCAGTAACTGCCATCTTCTCTCCTATCGAAACCGTCTCCCCGTTTAATGTTTTACTGGCTGCAATGCTGCCCCACTGGAGCCTGCCCGCAGACAAAGTCCGCACACTCCCAAGCCAGTCTTCAACGGGCAACAAAGCCGAGGAGATGCCAGCTTCCTCCCCAACGCACGTAAAGCTACACGAGGGTGTTTCACTCGGCACTTAGGGGACAATGAGAGGGACCACGGCAGGCCTCTGCAGTCATCCCCAGGGTCCCCCCAGGCAGACCACTGACTCCCAGCGAACGTCCTCCATCTCAGAGATGAGGAAAACTTCTTCATTGCAAAGGAATACTCACGACTGTATCCCCCGAGGGCCCCGGTCGCCAGCAGCAGGCTCAGCGCTAAAACGGGGGCTCTCTTCTGTAGCAGGTCAGAGATGAAGCCCTGCAGAGTGCCACCTGCAGGAAGGGCACAGCACAGTCACCATTAGCATGGGCCACTTGGCCCCACCCTGATCTCACTGTCAGGACCCCAGCACGGCTGAGCCCCAAAGACGGCTGGCTCTGAAGAGCGTCCTCCATAACTTCCTTACAGGAAGACAGACTGCTGCATCGCCATGATAGCTGATGGGGACAGGGCACCCCAAATCAGACCCCAAAATATGGACAAAGGAAAAACCACCAAAACCTCCCACTAGCCCTTACTGTTTCTCTTCCTAAAACAAGCTGTTAACAATTTTCCTGCTTCTTCTGCTTTTTATTTTGAAAGATAATTCACGAAGGGCCATGCCTCACAGACTATTAATACTGGCCAATAGCCACTAAAATTAAATGTAGCAATCACGGGTTCGTAACAACCAGGAGGGCAGCATGTGTGAAAAGAGGTGACGTAAACCCTTCCGGTGTCGCGTTCAGACATGACAAACCCCTGGTGCACCTCAGGCGGCAGACGCCTGCCAGCTTTAACTGTAAAGGACACAGCCTCACCTTGTGGCACCCTCGCCTTTGGCTCTGGAGCTAAGAGAAGGGCTGTCAAGTTCAAGTGTAACGGAAGCATCCCACCTAAGGATATGCTGTTGGCTTTCATGTGCTCAGGGCAGTTTAGCCTTCCCATGATCCTAAATGTACAGTCACAGAAAGGAGATTAGGAGTCTGCCGTAGCCATGTAGGTAATACCTCTGTAAGACTGTCTTATTTAAAAGTCTCTTACTTCTATTTTTACATGTCCAGCTATAGCAAAACGTCACCATTAAAATCTGTTGCTTACAACGGAGCAATTGCAAACCATGCACAAAGACAAATCCCAGCTATTATCCCTGCCTCTGGGATGTGACTGTCTGCACGTGGAGCTATCATTTCTCCTCTCTGGCTGGGGGTGGCAGAGAAGGCAGGCAGTAGGTAAAAGGAACACATCGCATTCTAACATGGATCTTGGACACACGACTAGCTTTAAAGCTTAGGTATCCCTGAACATGTACAAAGGTTACATTTAGAGAGGCCGAAACAAAGGAACTGCTCCGTCACCAAAGGGCAGAGAAAAAGAGCCCTATAAACCACATGCCCGCCTGAGCTGGGTCTCCCTTCCTAGGGGTCTGTTTTTCCTTTAAGAGTTTGCCTGTAGACTGGGAGGACAGTTTAGGGGAAACAGCTGTGAAATAAGCAATAAACCCTTACATGATGCCAGATTTCATAACCCAGTAGAGACTAACTCCACAAGAAGGAGGAAGACGTGTCACCGCCTACCTATGATTCCTCCTACATCGTACCAAATGGACAGCTGGTCAGCTTCAGCCTCCTTCCACTCAAAGCTGTTACTCAGATAAAAGGGCAGCCAGAAGAAGAAGGAGTAATTCACCAACTTCAGGCA